AGAGAGAGAGAGAGAGAGAGAGAGAGAGAGAGAGAGAGAGAGAGAGGGAGAGAGTGGCTTAACAGCAAATGCAGGCTTTATGTCCAGCATTAGACTTACAGAGGCGGGAGACCAGCTTAATGCCAGGGCCCACTGCTGCTTAAAGGCTGGGGCAATTTATAGGTCAGGTCAGGAGGGATCTGGCGGGGGCATGGCCTGCTGCCTGGAAAAATGTTGATTACGTGTTCCCAGGATGAGGCCGTTCTACCCCTTGTTCGGCTGAATGTAGTGTTCCTTGCACTTTTGCACTTTCTCCCAGTAGAATATAAGAGGCAGGCTGTTTCTTATGGCCCAAACCCCTGTGGAATGTTTCACTTTCCAAGGTCTGAGAAATGGCGGTGGGAGAGGCTTACAAAGTGCTGTAGTGTGGACTAACATTCTTGCCTTCTACTTTAATGTAAAAGGAAAAGGGGTGTTGTTGACTATCTGGCTGCTTCTTGCTCAATAGGGGCTGTTATCAGGGTTGGGGTTTTGCAGTAGTGGGTGTCCGACTTCGGAGTTGTTTTCCTGGAGGCTCTGATACCGAACTTGGTGGAGGAGAAGGATGGCATCAGTGGGTGTCTGGGTGGTTGCCTGGACAAGGGAGTTCAGCCTTCGGGAGATAAAACAGGATATGGAGGTGAGTACACATGGACCAATTGTTCGTATTTGGAGGAGGAAGATTAGGAGCCCTAAGAAAGGGGTTACCCAAGGCATACACTTTAGGAAGGATGACCTGTGCTACCAAGAGTTAGTGGCTTTATGTTGGATTTCTGTAGCCCTGTTATGGAGCCCATGGGCTTCGTCGCGAACAATGCCAGATTCATTAACATTAAAAAGCATTCTTCCTTAGGGAGGCCGAGACGGGTGGATCACGAGGTCAGGAGATCGAGACCATCCTGGCTAACACGGTGAAACCCCGTCTCTACTAAAAATACAAAAAACTAGCCGGGCGAGGTGGCGGGCGCCTGTAGTCCCAGCTACTCCGGAGGCTGAGGCAGGAGAATGGCGGGAACCCGGGAGGCGGAGCTTGCAGTGAGCTGAGATCCGGCCACTGCACTCCAGCCCGGGCTACAGAGCAAGACTCCGTCTCAAAAAAAAAAAAAAAAAAAA